TGTGCCTGATAAGCGTAAATTCACTTTGTTAACCTCTAACTCACTTGGTTAGAGAATGGGCCTGATGACTTTAAACTTTAAAGTCAGTTTGTTAAGCACTAACTCACTTGGTTAGCGTATGTGCCTGATAAATTTAAAGTCAGATTGTTAACCACTAACTCACTTGGTTAGCGTATACGTCTGTCTGATCAGTGCAAAGTCAGTTTTTTAACCCTCTAAGTGAAAACCTAAAATAGCCTGGATACGGGCAGAACTTGGGGAGGGTATAGATACACCATCATCTTGAGAAAGAAAGAAGAAGAAGAAAAAAGGTTGGATTTTTAAATCATTTGTTGCATGCCCAGTGTCCCCGGGCCGTTGGACGGCAGGGATACCTGCATGGGTGCAGCGGGCGGCCTTGTTAAACTACCGTAGCTTTTCGTGCTTGGAAATAAAATATCCAGATGCATTTTTGAAGCTTTAAAATAAAAAAAATGTGCACAAATGCAATTCGTTTGTGCGTAACACAAAAAACATGCACGTACGTTTTTTTTTTTTCTTCTACTTCTGGTGCATAGAAATTAGATGCACGCATGGGAGAGAATATGATGCTATTAGCCTATTACCACTTTAGATAGATATGGTCATGGTTCAAATGTTCATGAATTCCGAGGCTGCCACTCGTTGGAAGAACTCAATTTCACAGTTGCCCCTCCTTTAGGTGTGTACCTGGACGTACTTCCGCCTCCCCATTGAAACCATGCACCTGGCCATCTGCTTGTCCAAGGACCACTTCTGTGCAATTACTTATTTATTTATTTATTTCCCACTTCTGTGCAATTAAGATCCCAATTATGGGAATCGTGGAACTGCAAACACGATAAGTGGTGTGGCCGTGTGGCCATCGCCCCCCATCGGGCCCATGTGGCTTGATGGTTCGACATGGATGTATGTACTGAATGGCCAGGACATGTAGCTACCGTCTTCACCCGAATATAACGCCCGGTCATTATACCTGTATTTGGGGTATTTTTCAGTCCAGATGCAGCGATAATGACCGGGCGTTCTATTCGGGTGAAGACGGTAGCTGTTAAGGAACAGATGATGAGTTCAAAATTCAAATCCTGCTTTAATCAGAAGGGGCATGGTTTCAATGGGGAGGCGGAAATACGTCCAGGTACATACCTAAAGGGGCAACTGTGAAATTGAAACCATGCACCTGGCCATCTGCATGTCCAAGGACCATTTATGTTTTGAATACACTATGTTTGATCGCCCACCATATTGAATGGCCCGGACTATATGAATGGTCCGGACTATATGTATTGATCGCCCACCGTAAGTGGTTTAGGAAACAAGGAAAGGAAGACAGAGAAATAGAGAGAGGGAGAGGGAATGAGACAGAGTAACCTTGCTCTCTGTGCGTGTCTGTGTGGTACGGATCTGTTCGCTAGCGGTTACATGCATGTGCCATTCACAGACATGGCCTGGATGCATTGAGACGTGAGGTACAGCAGCCATGTGTGCGTGTGTGTGTGGGGGGGGGGGGGGGGGGGGGGGTCATATTTGCGATACACAACGTCACAAAGAAAATCATGACTGTGCCAGACTTTCGTCGGACTTTCACCGACTCATCAGGGGGTTGAACCTGGACAGACAGGCTGCCCAGAATGCATTTGACTGATGGATAAGGACTCACCATGTCGACAAGAGTTAGTGATACCCCTGAGAAAAGTGGTGGACTTCACTCACAACAACCCTTTGTGTGTGTGTGTGTGTGTGTGTGTGTGTGTGTGTGTGTGTGTTGTGATGTTCGCTATGCACAACTTAAAGAAAAAACCATGCCTGTGCCAGAATGTCCATTGGACTGTGTGTGTGTGTGTGTGTGTGTGTGTGTGTGTGTGTGTGTGTGTGTGTGTTGTGATGT